ATGAAAGTCAATAAGAATCAACCCGACAAAACTCAAATCAATCTATTTTCTAACTTAATTCTATTCCCCTTTGGAATTCGACAAAAATCAAAGACTTAATTTATGTACAATAATTCTTATGAATTAAAGATCCTAATCATCACCTCAATATACTAGGAACCCTTTTCCTCAACTCTCAAGACTTTCTCTAATCTTCGATCCACAAATCGAATAACTTCAAAAGCGCCTTGGAACTATTTTATCCTATCGGACACCTCTCTTTCGTTTGCTGCTACGAAGCTCACCAAGCTCATTGATAACAGAAGCTCACCGCGTCCATCTTCACTTGAGATTCGGACTTTATACTGTGAGGTGACGTCACAACTCTGAATGCAATCACTCCCCTCATTTACATACTTATTTGCTAACAATAAACTTTTTCTTTTGTCTAACAATAAACTTTTTCTTTTTGTTTCTATTTTCTGACAATACTCGCTAACCTTTTACATTATTCTTTTTGACAATTTTAGGGATATTTTTACTCTTTAAGGTTTAGTGAGTCCCTAAGTTGTGCTTGTGGGGTCTCCCCCTTTTCTTGGTGCGGACTTACTTTTTTCCGCTCGGGAGCGCAAGTTTTTTCTACAGCGCTTTTCTCTCATTGGTGAGTTGGTTTCTCTTCTCTTTTTAAGTTTCTAAGGTGAATGGTGAGGAAACTTTCGTCCTAACAAAACATAAGCCCCAAACAAAAATATAATAAAAAGCAAAATAAAAGTAAATAAAAATAATGCTCGGACTTGGTTCCTTACAACCAAATGTAATTAGAAAAATCTCTGTTCCTGCCAAGTTTGTAAAAAATGACTAATGTGCAACAAGAGCTTCACTGTTCAACTGAATACTTAAGAACAAACTGGTGATGATATATATGAATTTTCAATTTCTTTTTCTAATTAAGCATAGTGCTTGAAACATTCCTAAAACAGCAAGAGGTCAGGCTGAAAAATCTTGTCCCATCATATTTTTGTTTCAAGTGGTAAGAATAGGATAAAAACAGGTCCATGCATCACTTGTTATCTCCTCTCCAATATAAGTAACAGTGAACCCATAGGTAACCCCAACTATAACCCAGTCAGTCAAACTATAAGACTATGGATGTACTGTTCAAACAGTATGACTATGAAATTTTTCACTGCCAAAAACATTCCTTCCATTAATATCAATCATTGTACGCAAAATAAATATATCATGATGAACATGTTGGTGAGAGCACAGACAACAGGTATAACAGTTTAAGCTCAGACAAATAATCAGTAAATATTGCAGTACTCACCTAAGAATGAAAGAAAAAAACTTTAATGAAGGAATTCAGAAATCTGTTGAACATTGGAAGAAGTGTGTTAAAATCTGAAGAGGTTATGCAGAAAGTAATTATCCAGAGTTTAAATAAAGGTTTATGATACATTTTTTTTTTCACTTAAATAAAAATTAAAGCAAGTGAGATATTTAGGTGGAAACAAAACTTCAGCTTACCCTTGTATTTAACACATCTTTAAGGAAATATTTTGAGATTTTCATTACAGATGTGTCATTCAAACTGCTTATCAAAGAATAAAAACTCTAAAAAAATTCAAATGGTTTTGGAGTGTGTGCCAATCATGAGTTGGTAAGTGTGCCAAGCCCAAAACAGATGATTTCGGTCTCAACGCAATATGTCCGATGCCAATTTTTCACAAAATCAATCATTTGTAGTTAACAAGAGACTGTTGACGACAGATTCAAGAGAGTTCCAGTTCTCCAAAATGTTTTTACTTCAAGAGAAGCAGCTCAAACCAGTTTTGAATATGCAGATACTTTTTAGCTGATTGTCTCAATTATTCATTTTAATAGTTATACAGCATAATTTTAACAGACAAAAATGTTAAAAATAACTTATTAATTACTGTAGCTAAATATTGTAACAAACAACATTTTCCACAAACAAAAGTAGTTTTTACTTAATACATTTCTTAAAAAATAATAAGAAGCAAAGTAAAATTAGCTTTAAAACTGGCTTATTAAAGTTATAATTAAACAATGTGCATCTCAACTGGTGCCAATATTCAACAACAATGTGCACAACAGAAAATCAAACTAAGTCAAAAAGTGCAAATAAAAAAAATGAAAAACAAGTGACAAACTGAAATTAAATTTGCATTAAAATGTTACATTGGTTCAGAATTTAGGTAAGAACAACCATGCACTAGAATCGATCATGCAAAGAATGTAAAATGTACTCACAAGTAATGGGAATACCAGAATTTTCAATAAAATCACCTGAAGCATGAAAAGAGACAGAATAAAACAGTTCTTTAAAATATCTTTTAGACATGTGATTTGATAGAATAAAACAGTTTAAAAGATTGTTATAAATAATTCTAAAAATTTAACATATAAATAGTTTAGTTTATTTAGTTGTCAAAAATCAAATGACACACACAATCCAATTTTCAGTCAAGTTTTGAACAATAAATGCAAGCAATCTAGCTTCGCCAAAAATATTAATAAAATAAGCCATCCAAAATTCCTTGATATTTAAACTAATTACAAAGTTTTTGATCCTAACTTTGATTTTTAATATAGGAAATTAAACAATATTTTAGAAATTTTAGAAAGTTATCAACAATATTTATCTAAACTATCATTCCATCATATTTGGGAATAAAATGTATGATCTAATATACAGAGACAACTCATAAGTAAATAGACACCCTTATTTTCAGTGTCTTTATTTTACAATACAAGTGCTACATAGCTTAACCCAGTCGGACATGGCATAAACAAGTTCTGCTATCTAGATCCAAGGAATGTTGGCCCGCTTGGAGGGCAAACAGTCTAAAAGTTCTCAGCCAAAAGTAGGCTTTTGTAAATGTCATCACAGTGTGCGATCCAGCAAATTCCAGACTTGTTCGAAGGGATTTATGTCAGGTGACCAAATGGTATCTATTTACTTATGGGTTGTCTATAAAACAAAACAAAACAACAACCAATAGCACTCTATATTAGATGTTATTGGTCTTAGTTTTTTACCAATTTGCAACTGCCAATGATGTTATAAAGAGGAAGACAAGTTAAAAAATATAACTTATGACTTTCTCTGACAACTGTACAGTCACACAAGGAATTATTTTGAGTTTTAATACTGTTTCCCAATATAATGGATTCAAAAATTCTTAATATATCTTGTATAAATGCAGATGTTTTTGAAGTTTTTTTTTGTTATTTACTTTGTCAAGAATCCAAGCAACTTTATGATAAAAATATATTACAATTTTCTCAATTTGCAGCCACAAAATAATGTATTTTTGGTAATGATATGTACAGTATTAAAATTAAGTAAAATAAAACTATAGTTATTTATGATAAATAGAATAAAATAAATGGCAATACTAAGCCATATTTATTATAGTTAGAAAAATATATTTTATATATAACAATAAAACTCTGAGAGGAAAACTTGAAGACAAAAAATGATTTGAAAAGCTTATAAAGAGGGGTTGATTTCATCAGTGTTTAATTTAATTCTCGTAATATGAGGACATATACAAGTTATGTATGAGTTCATATATTTCAGACAGATAGATTAAGTCACTTCATAAACAATTGATGTACTATAATTATTTATTCTAGACCTGTGCACGGCTAAAAGATTTGGTGCCATTTCTCTTTGCTAGACAAAATGTATCATTTTGCAGTCTCTCATTCAATTTAAAGTTTTACAGGAAACTTCTCATAGCAGTATGCCCAAGGTTAAAATAAACAGATTTATTATATAAAAACTTTAGTTTACTATACTCAACATAAAAAGCATTGTACCCAAGTGTAATAAACAGCAAATTCTTAAGAAACATCAACAATAATTGTATAAATTCAGTAAATGTAACTATTTTTGTATATTCAGTTAATAAAATATTTTTAGATTTTTTTTGGTTCTTAAATAGTTGTGATTTAAAAATGAAAGAGAGACAACAAAATAAGTGGGTCAATTGTCCTAGAATTATATTTTATAAATGTAATATGTTATTATTGTTGACCCTCAACATGATGGATTAATAGAAGCAATCAAATAATGCCAATTGTTTGCTGTATCCAAAAAATGTCAGTGTGCTACAAGACATTTCATACACAATTAGAAATGAACAACTTATATCATGATAGATATAAGGAAAAAAGGAAAACACTGCAATAATACTTCCAAGTGGACAAACAGTAGCTGCATTTAAGGATGTCCTGATACCATATCGATATTTTCCTTTGATACAGAGTACTTTACACTTGATACTTTTGGTCCAATACCAGTATCAATAACTTTCCTCAGGTATCTGATCGGGCATCGTTACATTTTTCACCGACAGATAAGATCCAACCAAATTTGGGTTTTAAAGTCAGTTTTCAGCCAAAACTGAAACAGACACTATTTTTGGTTAAGTTATACACTAAATATTAATGACCAAAAATCAACACATTTATTACATCAAATTTCATTTTAAGAATCTATCTACAGTATGCTTATTTTAACTTAACTTGCTAAATATTTAAAAAACTTGAAAATATATTAAAATCTCAAATCAATTGATCCAAGTACAGTATTGATAACATTTAGTTTATGCAATAAATCTAATAATTTGTTAATGATAAATAACATGCTTTATTTTAGTTATGTTAAAAGTTTCAAAATCAAGCCACAGACTGAACAGTGACAGCCAGCAAGATTTCCAGTTTCGATACCCAATATCAGCTGATATCGATACTTTAAGATCAATACCGTTTATGGTATCAGAACATCTCTAGCTGCACCGAAATAGTAGCTACAAAAGTGTGTACTAATAATTGTTTGATATTCCTGAAGATTGTTTTTCTGCTATGGCCAATTAGTCTCCAGGACTCTTACACTGTATGACACAATCAACACTACATTGTAACACAAATAACTTGACACTAAGCTGTCTGGATGAATGTACAATAATCTTCCATGAATTCAATTTACATAAAGTTTGTATAAGATTGTCATACCAAATGCAAACCACAGAGTCATCAGATACAATCCAATCGTTTCCAAAATATGCTATATTGGAATCTGTAAATCTGAGTCAACAATATTAAGTTTCACATTTGATTTTTTTATTCTATTTTTTAAAATGGAAAAAAAATCAAATTTAAAATTTTTAGATTAGAAATCTCAGATATTTTATCTGATAGATGATAACAAATATAATCTTACCTGCATTGCTATTTAGGTAAAATGAAGCACAATCACCATCCCTAGCAAGCTGTTGGGCCTGTGAAAGAATTAAATTTTTAATACTTCTCATATATCATTTGAAACAAGTATATTATTATTTAATGAAAAAAGAACTGCATTTCAAGAAAAAACTTGCTGTTATCACATAAAACAAAAATAAAAGCATATTTATTAAAGATCCTCATACATCCAGTTCAAGCTGTTTTAAAAAAACTTTTATTGAAAAATTCAGTAAACTGCAGCACTCAAGCTACAGTGGTGCATCTTACTTCAAAATTAATTTGTTCCAGGAAGTCATTCAAACTCCAAACTGAAGTCCAAATCAATTTTCACCATTTGAAATACAGTCGACCCCCTATAATTACGGTCCTTATAATTACGATTCCTATAAAACTACGAAAAAATTGCTACCGGTATCCGTAAAAAATAGTAAAAGTTCCTATAAACACCTCAAACGTCATCGGGCAGCCGAACTACTTTCCCGCCGTCCGTAGCGCCATGCTACGGAGAGATTTCTATCGTCTGGACAGTATTATATAAATTATATATAAATTAGGTACTGTACATATAATTATATATTAATTATATATAAATTAGGTACTGTATATATAATTATATATTAACTTATTGTAACTTTGTTATAATTAAATATATAATTTCCGCCGTCTAGCGTGGCGCCACGCTACGGAGATTTTTACGCTAACTATCGTCTGTCAGTATGTAAATTAGGTACCGTAAGTCTAATACAGTACTGTAATTTTATACATTTCTTGTGAAAGAAACATTTCTTATTCAACGGCGATTAAAATTATTTATATTAATGATGTCTCCGAAGTTCTACGAAGTTTTCACAGAAAAATAAGTTGTTAGAAATCGGCCGCTCTTTGCTGAGCTGTTCCGCGACGAAAACAATGTTGAGCAATGGCAATGTCGAATGGTGACACTCGGTAAGTAATCCTACAATTTTTTGTTTATAGCGTAGTTTATACGGATTATTCCCAAAAAATATATACGTATTTTGGAAATGTTGAGTCGGATTAGTCTAGAATCGATTAATTTTATGGAAGAAAATCTTTCAAACAGCCGTAGTCCGTAAACTTGACACGTGTCGGGTTGTGATTGGAGGGATTCGTAAGAAATTGGATTCCTAGAGAATGGAACGTATCTCTATCTTATAGGGGGGGTCGACTGTAAAGTGAATTATAAACATATAGTGCAAAAGTGTTAGCTTTTTCTTTCAAGAGAAGTAGCATAAACTGAAAATACAAAATTTTTTCTTCTATACAGAGTTTCCCTGAAAATAAGACCTAGCAAAGATTTTGCTGAATTGATAAATATAAGGCCTCCCCCCAAAAGTAAGACCTAGCAAAGTTTTTTATTTTTTACTTGTAACGGTCATTGACAGATGGTTGAAAGTGGCCATTGGCTTTTTCAAAGTATACCCACTGATTGGTCAGCAGACAATTATGCCAGACGGCATGATTTGCATAAGACTGTGGCTTGGAAATCAGATTTGCATAACGTTACGGTTGGGGATCGCTAATTGGTCGGCCGAGAATCACGCCACATCACATTTGCATAGTGCTACGGTTCAGTAAGCACTAATTGGTCATCAAGCCTGATGTCAATTCTATAAAAAGGTTAAGTTGAAGCGAGAGTGGGAAGTCCACTCCAGCACGGCAACTTCATAAGTTCACTTCAGTTCATGACTTCGGTTTTATTTAAGTTCAGTTTGACATGACCAGATATATGTCACTCTTGTCTAAGTTTGACTTTGAACAAAAAAATTCCAAAAATAAATGTGAATTCTTATTAATGGAAAATAAGACATAGCGCATCTTTCAGAGCAAAAATTAATATAAAACACTGTCTTATTTGGGGAAACAGGTAGTAAAAATGACTATTTAAATTCAGAAGATAATGTCTAATTTGTTGAAGGAAAGTTAATAAAATATTTCAAACATTTAAAACAGATTAAAGGAGAAAATAATATCAAAGTATCAAAACTTCTTACAATCTATTTGCAAAAGATTCATTTATAATTCCATACGTTCAATAGTGTCACTAGAGGGTGTAGAACACAACAGGTGTGACCAAACATTCTTCATAAGCCCAGCTTATATTTATCAATAGAACTAACACTAAAATGCTATGCTAATTTACTTTTTAAACTTTCTAATGTGATCCAAGTCAAACTCGAAATTATTACAAATTACAATAAAAGATACAAAAATATTTTACGTTTTACAAATATAACACAATTACGAAGATAAAAGTAAACAAATAAATATAAAGATGTGTAGGCTTGCATATGATATTGAAATTTAAAAAAAGGTGTGATTTTAATTATGATAGTTGTTAACATTATTACCATTATATTCAATAATGTAAAGGTGAAAAAATTTTGATTTACTAAATATTCCATACGGTCTGATAAACAAATCCACAGAGGTGACACCATAAGTTACTGCACGAAACGACACCAACCCTAGCAACATCACTTCATATATTCAAGAATAATGTAAAAATAAATAAATTTTGACTTACATCTTTCTTTGATTTGTCAACGTCATACTTGCAAATCATTTTACTCTTTACTTCTTCTTCATTTGAACTTAAATCAGTCCAAACTGAAAAAGTAGAATTTGGACATCTCTCAACACAGACCTGCAGAGAGAAAATATTAAAATTATTTTCATTTAAAATTAAAGAAATTTAAGACATCCCAATATCAAATTTTACTTTAAAAATATCATTTTAACATTAACAAAATTCGTTATTCTTAGAAGTATTGGGTAATAAACATAACTCAAATCAGATGAAATGTCAAATTCAGTATTTAAAATATTATTAGAGATATTCAAAACTAATTATTTACTTGAGTAGTGGGGCATCCTGTAAAAAGAACTGTTGCTTTTGCACATTCCAGCAGATTAAAAAAGAAGAGATATGGTCTATTTCTGAAATTAAAAAGTTGCACTTTATTTATTGTCTATAATTTTATTATATCAAACAATATATGTTATTGGTAATAATGTAAAGTTAAAGTTCATTAATTAAGTAACTGATATATCACTCGATCACATGCATCCTTGTACAGCAAGAAAAATGTGTGTTTACTAAACTGGAAAAAACCAACATTTATATAATTCACTTCATCTTCGTATTTCTGTTTTATTTCCATTAGTATTTGTAAAATGTTCAATTCTGCATCATCAATCTGATGAATATCATTAAATATGACTAATTTTTGGACATTAGTTTTTTCCAGTTTAATAAACCCTTTTGGCTGATGAGAACAAAATTAAATTACTTAATTCTGGAAGCCAAATTAAATGTTATTCAGAAACATTTGTTCTTTTATAAGATGATCATCAGCTATAAAAATTATTAAGTGCATTAGAACAAAAACATTTAAAAGAGAGAACTCTTTTGAACGTATTTGTTCTAACATACCAGTTGATTTTTACAGCTGATGTTCATATAAAAAGAACAAATGTTTATGAATAACATTTACTTTTGTTTCCAAAGTTAAGCAATTTTTTCCTCATCTTTTTACATATAAATTTGTTTGGTATTAAAAAAAAATCTATCAAAATGTAAACCTATTTAATTCTACACAGATGTTCAGTAACATCTAATAAACTTTCTTGGAGACGGAAAGCAAAATTGTTCAGTGATTTAAATATCTAAAAAATTTCATTAGTTGAACGAAAGTAGTAATGAATTCTAATTAAAACTAAACACAATTTAGTTAGTTTGTTTTGTGCATATTTATGCTTTCTGGTTTGCCAACAAACATTTATCTAACAGGAAATACAAAAATACTACACAAATTACTTGAGAAATTTGCAAAAGAAAAAAAAAATAATACAACTTACTCAAATTTTCCTCTGCCGCAAATATTTCCCTCGCTATCTGTGGGATTAATTAAAAGATCTGGGTCACCTTGAGTAAAAGCTGAAAGTAAAAAATTTACAGACAAATTAAATATAGATGTATTTAATTTGCACACACACAAAACAACCCTCTTCCATGGATTCAATAACGTCTACATTTACAAGTGCATTATTATTATTATTATGTTGAATTTAGTGGATAATACTCGGTTTAAACCGGTGGCTGTGTACTATGCCGGACCAGAGTCAAGGCATAGCAACCAAAACAAAACAAAAATTAAATGTGTGTGTCAGTGTCTGTATTAAGGAATTTCCTAACAATATGGCATGTATTCAATATAGTGGCCTTCTGTAGTGTGATGTATGTATTTCTACTCAATTGTAATGGTCCCAGGCTTTTCTGTAGTGTGTGTGGTATCACACCTGTACAGAAGAGAACAACAGGTACAATAAGCACCCTATCCATCCTCCACACATGCCTTATTTCCTGGGCGAGTTCTGTGTACTTGCTAATTTTTTCAGTGCATGTGTTTTGTACATTGTGAGTGTTTGGAATGGCTATGTCTATAATGTAT